CCCAAAAAAAAAAATTACATCGTTACACTCACCTCAATGATCTCTATCGATCCCCGTATGAATTTTTTTAATTCGAGATTTGGTAGTATTGTGCATTTATGCCAAAGTTTGAAATTTTGATGACTATTTTTTACGTTTGATTCATTTTTATGAATTTTTTACAAAGTTTGCAAGAATAAATTATATGGTTTTTGTTATAGAATAAGCTATATTTTGAATGAAAATTAACTTAAAAGATTTATGATGGAAAACATTTCGAATATTTTGAACAAAACTAATTTATGATTACTTCTGTGAGTGACTGTACATTTCTTGCACTTAATTTTTTTCAACTGCATTGAAGTATTCTTATAGAAACCTCAAAGAATATAATTACTGGGCCCAATATCTGTGGTCGTAAGCAATACCCGCCTAGGTCGAATAACCCGAATTCGAGAAAAAAGTTTTAAATATTTGGAAAGTAATGTTATCCTTATGCGGAAACCAAAATATGATCGTCTACAACATTTTCAATAGCATAGCTGGCAAATGGGGATTTCACGTTGGCATATATAACTCAATACTTTCTTAAGCCGACTTAGGCGGGTATAGATTATGACCACAGATAGATGGATCTCGTAAACATCTCTAATGAGCATTTGACACAACCAAAACAAAATTGCACTTGAACCGAAGTCGCGGAAACGCATTCAAGCCTCCTTCAGGAAATGCAAATAAATAATCTAATGGAAAATGAAATCACCTTGATCATAAGTATTTGGTAAACTATTTCATTTAGTACACTATTGGCATTTTATTTTTTACACGTGCGGAAAGTTTACATTTGAGGCAAATCCAAGACGAGGCAACCAGCAGCAGGCGGATAATCAGCCACACGGACACGGAACGGCAAACGCGACCACAGCATACATCCGAGTAGCGAACAATTTATTGTAATAGATCTCATTGGAATCGCTGAAATCTTATTGGAGAAACGTATGAGCGGAGGCAGGCGCGAGCCGAATTCCACTGATTGCGAACGACTAGCAGAACTCGAAAAATTCACTGAAATTCCGCAACTTCAAATCGAAATTACATCGCTTCACCTTGCACTAATTCACTTTATAAATAGAACATAAACAAACTTTCACACTAAATTAAGTTTTTTCAATATTTATGGTTCGATTGCGACGCGTCTAATTGCAAAATAATAACAAAGAAAAAACTTTAGGACGCACGCAAAGAACGATGAACAATAGACAAATGCAAGATGACGTTCCGCGAGAGCCGATTCGTTGAAGTCTTCTCGTTGAAAAATGTTTAAACTCGTTGATTTTTGACTTATACCCAGGGTTGCACATGACCATCGAATACCTAAATTTATTATTTAGGGCCTTTGATAAAATGAATTTTGCTGTGTCAAATGCAGAGTTAAATTTTGACAGTTGAAAAACCAAACAAACGCTCGAGCGAAAGCTTTATTTTTGTGTGTTGCTGAAATTCTTAAAATTTATATTTATTTTATAATTTGCAAGTAACGTACGCTTTTTTTATGCTGTTTCAGCTTTCATTTTCATGTTCACTCCTTATTACCGCCAAGCAATATTATGTGTATACATGGTTATAAGCTGTCAAAATTTTACCTAGCCCCATGAGCTAGGTAAAATTCTGACGTTCTTATTCACCACGAGAAATGTCAGATTGTTACTTAGATTCGTCAAAATTTTCTCTTTTCTATCATTTGGCACAGGCCCTTAAAGGAAAATATCAACAAAAATTTATATGCTATCGCTATGACTAGCCACACATCTGCACTTGATATATGAGAGAGCTACTTTGGTTATAATGTCCCCTTCTGGCTTTTTTTTAAAAACAGTGAAATTTATTTATAAATCGATTTACAAATATGCCAGAACGGTTACAAAGCCTATCGAATTGACACTACTGCTATCAGCTGTTTTATCACCCTTCATATTAGGTTATTTTATATGCCTGGTACACAACATTTTAGCTTGTTGTAAGCTAAACAATATATAATTTACTATGGGAAAGGTCATGTCGATGTTGGCACGTAAAGCGAATCGTTTTAATGTAGAGAATAGGGCACATCGAGTATTGGAGCGTGACAAGCCAGTACCGGCACCGAAATATGAGTCCAATATTCAGGACATGCAGCGAGCTCTTGAGTGTAAATATCGATGGAACTTTTGCTCTTAATAACTATATGTTAACATCCTAAAATTTTATTATAATTCCAGTGGACCCACAGCTTGTAGAAAAGCTGAACAAGAAGGATCAAGCGCTAGATGATCGACTAAAAAATGTTTATGTAACTTCAGAGGATAGATTTGTGGGTTAACGGAAATTACAGTATCTTTATGAGCACTAACTTTTTTTAAAACCATCAATAGATTGACTATGCTTCCCAGCGTGCGGATCCCAGTAAACCGCTACCGTTAAGTCGTAAAACTCCACAAGATTTTGAATACGGCTACAGAGAACCGACTCGAGTTGCAGCTGGTTGTTGCACACTGCGGCAAGCAATGCAGTTCATAACGGACCATCAAAGCGATTCTAGTTTATGGACCAAACAGCGAATCGCTGCAGACTATAAATTAAAGGAAGATGTTGTTGGTAAGTCACAGACAAAGGTCTGTTGTACACAGATTAAAAAATCTTCCCGTTTCAGAAAAAATTTTGCATTATTTTAGAACTTTTAATGTGTACATACCAGACAGGGGACAAAAAGAACGTGTACTCTCACAAGCTAGTAGGAAACTAATTGATAACAAAAAAAATGAAGAGTAATGAGGGTATGAACTTGTCTTTATTGTGTGAACGTCGAGCACTATCTTTTAGTCGATTACGGTTAAGTAGAAATATACGTCTTTACGAACAAAACATATATGTAGAAGACCTCATTTTTATCGAATGCAGTTAGACCACCACATTGGGCGGAATGTTATACAAATTCAGGGATTTGTCTTCAGATACTGATATAAGTTTATCATTTGACAAACTGTACTTTACGCCCCAAGCCTGATCACCATGTTCAGAGAATGTATGCATACATTTTCGTTCGGCGAAATCCCAAATTTTTACGGTTGTGTCACTAGATGATGACGCAAAGTGCTTGCCATCTTCAGAAAAAGAAACACACAGCACCCATGAGGCGTGACCGGAGAGTGTACCAGCGACATCCGAGTGAGCACTGTAGATATATTAGGTGCAAACGTTATCAGTTAAAACTTGTTTATTTTCTACATACACATCGTAAAGTTTCATGTGTCCATCGTCAGAAGCGGTTAGCAGCATTTGAGAATTTGGAGAAAAGCATAAGCTTCTTACCGACATAGCATGACCTTCGAGAGTTTGTGCGACTTTGCCTGCTGCCACATCGAAAATGGTAATAATGCCATCTATAGCTCCACTCGCTATGTACTTTCCATCTGGACTCTATACAAATTATAGCTATTAATTGATTGCGTTTTAATACATTGTTACAATATCACTTACGTATGCTATGCTCAATGTAAATTTGCCGTTCTGTGGATCTAGCACCTGTTCAGCTTTCCCCGTTTCTACGCTATACATGGAGATTTTTCCATCATTCGAACCGGAAATCACATATTTATTACACGGGGAAAACGCGACTGTCCACAAATCTACGGGTCCAAAGGAGAGCAGATGCTTTTGTTGACCACTTTGCGAGTCCCAAAAGCACAGGCTTGAATCCAAAGAACTGCTAGCGATAGCTAAAAATGGAATTGCTGCAATAGAACAAGTCTAATTTTTCATATTATTGACACTCACTCTTGCCATCGGGGCTAACTGCCACGGAAACTACGCCTAGAGAGTGGCCTTTCAGCGTGTGACGTAACTTCAGTTGATCTTCGTCACGGATATCCCATACTTTCACCAAATCATCTAACCCCCCGGTCACAATATAATCAACTGGCTCCGGCTTTTTCTTTCCAAATGTAGAGTCCCGACTCGCATCTGGGTCTTTTTCATCTTCGGTTGCATTGTCTGCAGGTGCTTCCTCCGGTGGCAGTCGTCCCCAAGAACAAGACCAGATCTATAAATTAATTGTCAGTTAACACGTTCTTTCGAAACCTAATCAGAGGAAAACTTACTCCATCATCGTGCGCTGATTCCTCTTTGTGTAGTAATGAGAACTGGACAAACGCAAAAACATATTAGCAAAGCTTTGCAAACAGAGAGTAAAAATTGACTTACCATAACTATTATTTTGATGACGTTCTAGTTATGTTTATAATTTCATAAAAATGCAAACTTCTCACTCAGCCGGGATAATCACGATTCTATCATTCTTGAGAGGAGGGCGCATACACATGTACACATACGAAAAGAGCAAATGAATGTAATGCAGACATTTAAAGAGCAATAAGTACTATGCAGCTTGAATAGCACGATGTATCATGCTTGCTTGAAGAATAGGATGAATGCAGGATGAATGCACGATCCAGAAAATAAAGGTCGCGCCATTCGCGGACCGCTAACCCTCTCATCGTCGATTTGACAGCATCCACCCATTCGCTGACGTCATAAAATACTTTTGTTTACATTCACTGTTGCCAACTTAATGCTTTCCGCACCAAATTTAGTGGGTATTCAAAACGCGAACATTTTTGAGTTTGGTGCGTGGTGCGTTTTTGGTGCTTTTGTTTTTAGTTTGAAGACACCAAATTATAAAATCTTAAAAAAATGGAAGCAAAATTTATAGCAATCATAAGCGTGGTAAGCAACTTCACAAAAATTTAAATAAAATCATGGCACAATCATAAGCGACAACAAAATATGTGGCAGCACCTTCAATCAAGCCAGAAGAAATCGACCGTCGTGCAAGAAACATTCATTTTTATTAATTTGAATCGGCATCCTTACAATATAATTATGTATGCATATAAAGTCCATAAAATACACCAATAAATATTTGGTGCTTTTTCAAATTCAAAACTTGGCAATACTGCCTTTTGTTCGATGCTTCCTCTTTTTCTTGTCGAGTTCGTCTTGCTCTCTCATTCTGGTATTTATTGACGTCACGGCCAGTTACTCTCAGCTCGATTGGCGCAATCTTGTATTCTATCATTCTTGCGGGATAATAACAAAAATAAATTGGCATTTTATTTAACACATGCAGCCTTACCATATCAAACAATAAATATTTAAAAGTCAAAAAACAGTGCTTCCAAGTCAAATATTGTTACGATTAAGGCACGGTGCACACTACTGCGATACGATATACGATGCGATATGCGATACGATATGCGATGCGATATGAAATGCGCGCAGTGCACATTAGAGCGATGCGATACGCGATGCGACACGCGATACCATTTTGTGATAGCTACACAAACATTTGTGCTCTTATAAGCTTGTAAATGAGTTGCTTCTCAACCGAGTTTAGACCTTTCGAATGATGGGTCTATGTTTATATCTATAAACTTTTAAAAAATTTAAGAGAAAAGTATGTTTAATATCGAGTAAAACTGATGTTTATTTTTACAAAGTCGGCTAAAAATGAGAAATTCAAATTTTCATGACACATTATTTCAGAATATTGCGTTCACTTCAAGGAGAAATCGGTGAAAGCTGAATTAAAAAAAGGCAAGGCAAAAATTTTTGAGTTATATAGCCAAAAATATTATATTAAAATATTAAAGGTTGAATAACTTAGTCAGATTTCCCCCGATTTTTTAAAGTAAAAATCACTATATATCAAATGTTATTATTGCATCAATTCAGGAGTAGTATAGTTGCTTTACAAAATAGTGCATGAAAACTTTGCCAAATTTGAAAAAAGACGAAAAAATTAATACAAAAAATACATACAGATCTCTTAAGTTTTCTAAAGTTCATATACATATATCATTCGAAAGGTCTAAACTCGGTTTATAGTCAACTGAGTTACAAGCTTATAAGTGCGGAGAACCGGGTTTTTAACAGTAAATCAAGATTGTGTGGGTGTTTGACAAAAATTTCGTATCTCGATTCCTACTTCACTCGGCAAAACCTACCTGAAAAATAACATGACTTACCGGGTATTTTTACTTCATTATTTTTTGTAGCATTGTATAATAGAGCACACAAATTTGCTTTTACTTTCTCTCTTTAATTTAAAAACTCCTTAAATATAATTAAATAACACCAAAGAAAAAAAACATATACAAATATAACGAAAAATCAAAAATAATTACCTACATACATACGTCATTTTTTAGTATTTGTTATTATATCTGATTTCTTCTTTTAATGGTAAATGAGATGATTATTTCTTAATTGTTTCTAATTACACTGATTACTATTTATTTGAGTATTTGAAACAAAATAATTAATCATTAACATTTAAACAAACACCAAATCTTGTTTACTATTCAAAATCTAAAATAAATAGGTTTAAAATTATTGGATTCTTTAAATTTATTTTTAAAGATGTGAAAACAAAGGTAAAAAAAACATCACAAAAATATTATTTTGAGCATTTACCTGTGTCCTTGACCTCAGACGCTATATTTCTCCATGCCAAACTAGTCATGTCTGTTGTACAGTCGTTTTTTTTTGTCTGTATAGTTTCATAAACATGGTTTTTTTATAAATTCGACTAAAAAAATTAAGGAAGATGCTTCCGCCTTTGAAATGGGCATACTTATTGCAAAAAATACCGCGCAATGCTAATCTCACCTCGTTCAGAAAACCGTGTCACAGGCTAACCTAATATTCACGCACGCCGCCAATTTATTGTCAAAAATTTCTCATGCACATGCAACTTGTATGAGATCAACCAAAATTGAACGGCGTGCGTATGAAGCTAACTCAATTTCCAATTTTTGTTCTGCGTGACATTTTGATTTGACGTTTCGCTCAATGAAATCAAATGCAAACGCATGCAAGTCAATTTCGGGTGACGCAAAAAAACAAATTCGACGGCATGCGTACCAAAACGCAAGCCGCGAATATAAGGTTAGCCTGTCACACGTGCGATACGCATGCGATATTATATCACATCGGTGTCGCTGTCGTGCAAGTGTGAACAGCGAAAAAGAACTCAATGTATACATGCGAGCGGCAAGGATGTGTATGGACCAGAGAACAGCTTTGAGTATGATCGAGCCTTTTTGATCACACTCACTAAAAATCAAGCACAAGCGAACGCCACACTCGGCTACTATGTGTTCGATCGAGATGCATACCCGACAGCTGCTTTGGTTACGAACGAGTCTGTTCGATCACCCTCGCTATAAATTGAGCACAAGCGAACACCACACTCGGACACCCGCAGCTAACCCGAAAATTTGTGTAACAATGAAACGGACACCCGAACATTGCGATAAAATGCAGGACAACAAAGAAATTTACGCTGAAGGTAACTGGCGCCAATATGTTCCCACAAAGCATACGAAAATGTTGTTGCTTTGTGCTTGTGCATACGCAATGAAAAAATTAGAAGCGAAGTAGACAAAAATGTTTTTGCATCTATTTCGTATAGTTTCGCGTGGAAAGCTGTATGAGTATATACTAGAACACACAGCCTAAAACTATGTACATCTACATAGTACATAAGTACTTTTACAAAAAATAAATGTGCACCGAGTGTATAGGGCTTGGGCATTGCCGATCTACACACATTTATACCTAAATGGATGTAGGCGTCGTGATGTCGCATTTTGTATGAGCAAAAATATAAGAAATGTGTTAAATGTACACTTAAACAAACTACCGAAAAATTCAGCCTTCTCTTTGCCCTCTACGCACAAAAACTAAGAACACCGCGATGAGAAGGCAACATTTTTTGTAGAAACAAAAACGTCATAAGCCAATCAAGAAAATTTTGTGCACACTCGGGTTGAAACTCGAACACCCGGGTATATTGAGCTGCAAAGCAACCGAACCCAATCAAGTATGTATGAAAAGCAATCGGGTGTTGTGGCCAACATGTTCGTCTTGAGCTCAGTCGATAACGAATAATACTTCTGCTCGTATACAGAGTGAACGACGGCCTTGCAACGTTTGATTGGATAAAAGAAGGCACCTGAGTCCACCGTCATAGTTTGTCTATTTATAGTATATTGATCGAGTATACACGAAAATCATGCACCCGCTGAGTGTCTGGTATGGACACAAACTATTTCGTTTTCAGAGAAAAATTTTTTAAAATCTTAAAGGGAACCAGCATGGGAAACCCGTTGTCACCACTTATCTCAGAAGTTTTTATGGCCAAATTTGAAATGGACTTACAATCGGAAAACAAATTACCACGCATATGGTACAGATACGTCGATGACGTCTTCGCAGTTGTCAAAAAGAGTGAAGTAAGAAACATACTGGATACTCTAAATTCGCAATATCCAGAAATAAAGTTCACCTGTGAAGTAGAAAATGACAAAAAACTCGTTTTCTTGGATTTAGAATTATCGCGAAAGCAAAACAAAATCGACATCGCGGTACACCATAAGCCGACAAGCACTCTGCGATACATTCCGAGCGATTCATATACCCCAATACAACATAAATTAGCAGCGTATCACTCCCTCGCGCATCGTTTAGTTAACTTGCCCCTATCGCTGCCAAATTACACGAAAGAGTACAATTATATCCAAGCAGTAGCAGAAACAAATGGTTATAGCGAAAAAGTAATAAACAATATAATAAAACAACACGCACACAAACGCAAAAATTCAACCTTAACGACACTGTTCAAACAGAACATCGATAAGCAGCTGATTTGAAGCGCGTGTCTATCATTTTTGCACCAAAAATAACCAACGGCCTAAAAACAGCATTCCAGAGGAACAAAATGCAAATAGTGCACTCCAACCCCTTCAAATTGAAAAATCATTTCAAAAGCCTAAAAGACAGAACAGACCCACTAGACAAAGCAGGCGTCTACAAAATATCGTGAGGTTTCTGCGAAAAAAGGTACTATGGACAAACCAAACGCACTATCAAAAAGAGATACAGCGAACACAAACAATGCGTCGAAAACAATGACCCGAGACGATCTGCATTCGCAGCGCATGTATTAGGAGATCAGCACTTACCAGTGTCAGCGAGCAAGGTGCAGCTATTAAAACATGTACACGACGAAAGAAAACTTGACGCCTACGAAAGCATGTATATTTGTAATGACAGATCGGCGATGAATCTAGACAAGGGGAACATCGAATCGGATTTGTTTTGCTTGCGCCGACGGCAGTCACACTAGTTTTAAGCTTGGTATTTATGTAATTTGTCTTTGCACTTGTTGAAGTTTCGTATTTATGTATAATGTTATTAATTTGTCTTTGCACTTGTTTTGTC